TCCAGTACTCTTTCCTGCCATGGCAGGGGGTTGGACTTGATGATCTGTTCAGGTCCCTTCTGACCCTACCAACTATGAAACTATGAGTACAAAATTCTGGGTTATTTTTCTGTGAAAATAGGGTATCAGGCCTAGGTTCAGGAGCTAATCCCCCATTTGCAACATTATTCCTATGGGAAAATCGGTTCCAATTTGCAACATTTCAACTTAAGACATGGTTTTCAGGAACCAGTTGTGTCGTAAGTCTGAGGACTGCCTGTGCTACAATTTCATCACTTATTAGTCTTACTCACCCCATCCAAACCTTTCTATACAAATCCATTGTCTAACTTCCCAGTAAAACTACACAGTCAACCCTGATACAACACAAGACATAACATCCTAATCTGCCACAGGAAAAGCAGGGGGATCATGATGACCCACATCCTCCTCTCGCAAAAGGTTAAAATGTGCTTGAGGGCTGTATCCCACCAAAGAGGAAGGCAAACCTCACCATAATCTATATTAATCAGACATGGGATAAAATTCATTCTGGATCCCAAATATGGAAATCAGCTTGACCCTGAGGAGAGAGGCAAGAACTTCTAGCCAGGCACCTCTGGGTTCAAGTCCCTGCAGGCATGCTGGAAAACCCCAGTCATAATCCACAGCCTTGGCTGCAACCAATGCCCAATATTTATGAGGAAAATATTGCAGCAGCTGGGGGGAAAAATCCCCTCCTGGCCTCATGCAGCAATCAGCAAAGACCAGAAGCATGGGATATACCCATAGTAGAATATAGACATAGCCATGCCTAGGTCATCCTCAACCAATGCCTGTCCATCCTCTTCTTGAAGACCCCAATGATGGAGATTCCACAACTACCCTAGGCATGTATTCTACTGCCTCATGTCCTAACAGTGAAGAAGTGCTTCCTGATATCCAATCTAAACCTACTGTAATGTATTATAATGTTGCAGAAGCCTACCGTGGGTTGAGCAGTGAAACTAAGTGGAATTACAAATGCCTGATTGGGGCCCTCAGAACAGCTTTGGAATCAGAGGCGGGTCCTGGCTAGGCCAATACCGCTCTCTTTCGTTGTAAGAAGACATCAGCTGAGTCGGCATGAGAGTTTGGCCTGGCTCTAAGACAGTTAGCCATAAAAGCCTTCTTGCAAGCCGTCCCTGAGGTACAGGATATGCTGGCCCATGATTATTTTCTCAACAGTGACTTCAGTGGGGAGGCATACACTTAACTTTGACTGGGAAAGCCCCAGACTCTGGATGAGGCTGTAAAGCGAGTGGGCCTGATGGACTAATGCACTAAAGGAGACCCTCGCCATTCGTGGGGGATACGTTCTAGAGATCCCCACAAATGGGGAAATCCGTGAATACTGTACTGCGTCATCTGGGTTGAAAACTTGTTTGGGCTTATAACCCTTCTCCTGGATGATTTTAAGAAGCTGTGGGGGATAACCCTGCACTGCATGGTTTCTTGATGCTGATTCCCCCATCAACTTCACATTATGTAGGCTGTGTCTCTTTTTAAATTTCTTGAACCACCCCTTACTTGTGGAGCACAGTAACAAACTGTCTTCATGCTACAGGGGGAGAGAGCGTGGGTTGGTATGGCACACCGCGAATATTCAAAACCGCAAATAGCGAGGGTTTCCTGTATAATGGAATGAAACTGCATGTGTGCTTAAGCAAAAGAGACCCGAGTGTGACAAAGGAACTAGGGAGGCCTGTCCATCAACCACCATAATGTCTCCAGGGACTGTACAACCAAACTGGCATCAGTACAGTCCCAAATAGTGCCAACAAGATACTGCCAGAAGGTGCTTATAAGTCCAGGGACATAGAGTGGGACCTGTGGCCCAACACAGATGGGGCTAGTAAGAATGGATGAGTCCAGGAGGTGAGACCAGGGATGAGTATACTTGAGAGTTCCCAACACCTACCCAACCTGAGGGAGGAGCCCAATCCTGAGTCCACAGGTAGGCCACAGAGGGAGTGGAAATCTCCCAAGTGATTTAGTATTTATGTGAATTGGGATGGATGCAGGGCACATCTAGTTAAAAGGGGTGTTAGATGTACTGGATTGTAACATTGTGGCAGGAACTACCATTCCCAGCAGGCTGCTGAGGAAAGAGGAAGAAAGAGGAGGGTAGAGCCGGGATTGAGCACAAGGTAATGGCTCTGCAGAGAGAGAGAAGCAGCAGCTGGTGAGACGTGTGCTGAGACCCAGGAGCTGCAGCAGGGCTGACTCTGCAAGCCGCAGCAGTAGGGCTCAGATGAGGAGCCCAGGTACACAGTAATTGAGTATCCCGTGAGACTAAAGACTAGTTTGAGAGCCCCCCTGCAGTTAAGGGAGGGCTTAAGGTTTCTTCAATGTATTGCATCACATTGTTAATGTTCCCTATTTGTTATCTTGCTTTCTGTCTCTGAAGAGTGTTATTACTGAGTCATTGTTATTGTCTGTTATGTGTATTCTAAGTGTATATATGTTAAAGTTTGCTCAACCATGTCTTTCCCAGTATCCTTAGCATTGATTGGCCTGTGACCCTATCCCTCCAGACTCCCCCGTATAAATTTGAGGACCCTGCTTTTGGCTTCTGTGCAGTTTTGCATTACGCTACTTTGTTTCAACTTCAAGCCATTGGTTTGTGCCCTACTCTCTGCTGCAGGAGAAGAAAGCCAGCCTTTCAGGTATTTGAAGACTCCTATCGTGTCCCCTCTTAAGTGCCTTTTCTGTAATTTGAATATGCCTAGCTCCTTCAACCTCTTATCATATAACATGCCTTCCAAGCTCTTAATCATTTTCATTGTTCACCTCTGGATCCTCTCCAGCATCCATGTCCTTTTAAAAATGTGGAGCCCAATACTGCACACAATAGATGTGGGCTAACTCAGGGGCAGGCAAAATATGGCCCATGGGCCGAATCTGGCCCACCAGATGATTTCATCCGGACTGAGGGCAGATGCCCACTGAGCCTTACTCAGTCCTGCAGAGGCAGCACGCTGTGCTCCCATCCTCCTATACAGGAGGGCCCCAGTCCTAGCCCTGGCCAGTGCACACCACTTCCAGGTGGGGAGGCTGCTCTCCGAACAGCTGGTAGGGAAATGGGAGTGGGTGGGGGGGAAGCTGCAGCTGGGCAGGAGTGTGAATCACGGGGCCAGGGCTGGTGGGAGCACAGGACCCAAAGCACAGGGCCTCCTCCCAGCAGGGTGGCAGGAGCACGGAGCCCAGGTTGTCCCAGTTCCATCGCATGGGGCTCCCTGCGGCTCACATGCAGCTCCCAGGACTCACGTGCCACTGGGGGGAAGCCCCATGTGATGGAGCCAGTGGCCTTTCCCACTCCCTGCCACCACATGCAACTCCCAGGACTCCACCAGAAGTGATGGGGAGCCCCGTGCAATGGAGCCGGGCTGGATTGGCCCCACCTCCTGCTTTGCAGTGGAGTCCCAGGAGCTGCGTGTGGTGGCAGGGAGGGGAGGCAGGCCTTTGCCTCTGTGGCAGGGCACTGTTTGTGCTGACCACTGTAAGGGCCTGAAGCCAGCAGCTGGCAGGTGCCTGATGAGGGTAGCCATTTTGGATTCAGGGCTGCCCATATAAACAGGGCATTTTGCTGCTGGAAGTTCAGGCAACAATATTGCCTGGCTGCAGGGATGCTGGTATCACCTGGAGGTAAGGAAGGAGCTGTAGGGGATGGTTTGGAGGCTCCTGGTCCTGAGCATGACCTAAAACTGTACCCTGCTGGGAGTGGGTGGCCTGGTGAGGCTCTCAGTGGCGAGGGAGCCCCCAGGAAATGCCAGGCCAGTTACCACCCTAGTGAAAGGCAAATTGGGGCACCTTAACCCCAGTTCCCACCTTTGGGTGGGTTAGGTGACAACAGAGGTAGAGGGGGCCAGGCACAGCTACGGCCACCTGAGCCCACCCAAGGTGGGAAGCCCCAAGACCCCAAGTGGCAGGGGTGGTGTAAAGCCCCAAGTGAGGGGGAGAAGAACTAGAGGGCTGAGGGCCCGGTATATATACAGACCCTGAGTGTTACCCTGAAAGGGGTCTGAGTGTGCTTAGACCCGGCTGGGTAATTGCCTGGCCACTACCCCGGTGAGGGTCGTGGGAGAGGCCCAACAGTCAGTACGCCTGCCACCAAGGAATGGACTAGCTAAGCCTATGGCCAAAGGGTGCCTGCTCTAAGAGGGAGGAAGGCGGCATAAGTTGTTGACGTGAGAAAGAGACCCTGTGAGAGAGGGTGGAGTGAATGAGGCCCAAGTGAGAGGCAGGCAGTATGACTGTGTATGTGACTGAGGCCTGATGGCGTGGCCTAAGCATGCTCCGGCTGTAGGCCGGGGGCACTGTAGCATCTGGATGCTATCTGCAAGGCTTGAGCTGTGGTGTAGGGGAGGTACGGAGCTGCGGACACCCCCAAATATGGGGGTGCAATAATGGGCAGCCTCCCACCTTATTTAACAGAATATTATTATTCCAACAAGACATGGTGGGCGAGACAGGCGGGCGGCATGCCCAGAGGCAGGTCAGGGGCTAGCTGCGGCTAGTGGGGATACCCACTTTGCCACATGGGGATCCTCTCTGCAGTGCATGGCTCTGGCTGGGTCCTGGCAGCTGCACATGACCTGCCAGGAGCACCATATGATAGAACCAGGCTGGCCTAGCCCTGCTCCCTGCAATCACGTGCAGCTCCTAGAACTGGCCAGAGCTGTGCACTGCTGGGGGGCTCTGTGGGCCAAGAGTCCCAAGGACCCACCATCTACTGCTGCCATCATCAACAGTGGGAGCTGTGCACCATTGTGGGAGCCAGCGGCACACCCCACCATGCTTATACACACCCCCACATCCCATCACACACACAGATCCTACCAACAACACTCCACACACTCTCCCATCTACCCCCCACACACAATATACAAGAGTAAGACTTTATTTTGAGCTTTTATGCAACCACCTTTATATATGCTATGCAAATGCATATAAATCAGGACAAAAATATATTTTTTAATAAAAATTAAAATATAGTAGATGTTCGGTGGTTTGTTTGGTTTTTGGTTTTTTGTTTTTTAACATATGATTTTGTTCTTTTCTGGTTCCAGGATGGGAACTCCTTGCCTTTCCAAAAGCAGTACTTTGTGGGACACGGCAAAGGATTTCCGGTGGCAAAGGTCAGGGGTTAGGTGCAGGCCTTCCCATCCCAAGATGATGACAAGGGGGCGGGGCTATCCTTACAGCCCTCAGCAGTTCACCAAAACTCATTAAGTGACCCTCCAGTCAAAATAATTGCCAGCTCCAGGTCTAACCAATGGTGAGCAGAGAGGCACTATCACCTCCTATGCCTTGCATTTATTGCTTATTTTGATGCATCCCAGAATCATATAAACCTTTTGTGCAGATGCATCACAGTTCAGCCTCCTGTTAAATCTGTGATCTTTTATGACTGTAGCGCTGCCATCTAGCCAAGTGTTTTGTGGTTTTGATTATTCCTCCTGAGGTGTAGCACCTTGCATTTGTCAGCATTGAACTTCATCTTGTTAGCTCTAGCCCAGCTTTCCAATCTGTTGATCTTTCTAAATTGTACCCCTGTCCTCCAACGTGTCTGCAAACCTTTCTAGTTTCATGTACATTACAAACTTGCTCAAGAAGCTTTCTATACCAACATCCGAATCATTAATAAACCTGTTGAATAGTACTGGGTCCAGGACAGACCCCAGGGGTACTCCAGTCAAAACCTCCTGCCACTCTGACATGGATCCATTTATAATTACTCTTTGCTTGCAGCTACTGAGCCAGTTGTCTGTCCACTTAACAGTAGTTTTGTCTAGCCCACATTTCTCCAATTTGTTTATAAGGCCATATGGTATCTTGTCAAAAGCCTAGCTGAAGTCCACATCATCCACCTAGGTGACCCACATCATTCCCTTCATCTACCCCAGTAGTTATTTTGTCAAAGATCACGTTTGTTTGACATGCTTTGTTCTTAGTAAATACATGTTGGGGTCTTGTAATCATTCTTTCCTCCTCCAGATGCCTGCAAATGGACCTCCAGTAACTTCCCAGGTATTAAGGTGAGACTAACTAGTCTATAGTTCCCCAGGTCCTCCTTTTTGCCTTTTTAAAATAGGGGCACTATGTTGGCCCTTTTCCAGACTGAGGGGAGGTATACAAGGTCAGAGTGAGGACTGTGTATGGAAAGCAACTTTAACTGTCTTCACTAATAAATTATGTCTTGTTTATTTTTACCACAATGTTCTAGTAAGCTGTTTCACATTAAAACTATATTAATTTATTATTTTTACTGTAGCAGTTTTTTTGATTAAGGAATTATAAGAAAGATTCATAATGAGTATATTGTGGCCCTGATACTTAAGACCCTTATACATGTGCTTAGCACGCATAAGTATTTGCTGGCTTGACATCTAAAGTTAAAGTAACCAACTTTCCTGACTTTGGGGGATGTGTCCCTGAAGAGTTACTGAAATGGGACTTCTGTCCCGAATTTGAAAAATTGGCCCCAGATTGACTGACTCCATTCCCAGTGTGGTTCCAGGCTGTGTCCTGCTGCTCATAAATGCAGCTATATTGCTGCTGATTTGGGATGTTTGGATTGATTAGCTGTGCTTATACACAGCCCCTGGCTAAGGTGGCTACACAAACCATAACCAGAAATGGTGTAGAGTGCTTTCAGCTTTGCAGGTCTCTGGTATATCCAGAGCTATGTCCAGGATTTTGCTTCCTGAAGGTTGGCTGCCTTATCTAAAATGAAAAGCATGGTAGAAATACATCCATCCATCAGGAAAACAAATTGGGACTGTAGTGTCCAAGCACAGATATGTGACAAATAAATTCAATGTGCCCTTTAAAATAGGCAGTAGCCCACTGGCTGGTACGGCATCTGGCTGTACCACTGGCTGGTACTGCTCCACCCTTATAATTGTATGTCATCTGTCCTCCATGCTATCTTATTACAAAGGAAAGGCACTGGTCTCACAGCCTGTGTTGCAGCTGTTCTGTTGACATAACTAAATGTGTTACATTAAAGCTTATTCACAGCTTGCATAACTTGAACATTGTACCATTTTTGAGATGGGGTAGAACCCAGATAGTGCATGGAGTTAAGTGCTATAGCCCTCATGAAGATGAGGGGGTGTGGGCCAGCTGGTGGTCACAAAAGCATGGGGGGAGGAGAGCCACTGATGAGCTCCAGCTGTGCGGAGAAATGGTGGCCTTTGAAGTAAATGCAGCAGACAACAGCTGTGCCTATTGCCCTTCATTTGGTAATTTTCTGTCAGTTAAGTTGAGGATTACCTAGACACAAATAATCTGGGTTTCACTGTATCAATATCATTAAAGTGGTATGATTTCCTGTTCCCCGCTCCAGAAAATGTGCTTAAACCACTGAGCTTATCCCAGTATGTGAAGGGGAATAAATTATGCCAGTTTAAACATCTCTATATATATCGGTATAACTGAGTCCACACAAGAATTTGTACTGATTCCACTATTTTGATAGAAAATGCGACTTGTATCTAAAATATTATGTTGGCCCAAAAACTGTGTGTGGACCCAGGCCTCCAATTTCTGCTTCGTGGGAGCAGAATCTCTTAACATCCTTGTAGTCCTGAGCTGTGTTTGAATGCAGGGCATAGTTATGTTGATGGTGCCTTGGTTTCAAGTGCATTTTCCACACACGGAAAAGGTTGTGCTCAAGATGAGTGATGTCAAATGTTGTGTGATTCCCACTACAACATTAACACAGTATAAAAGAGGATTCTGTTTCAACAGATGCCTAACCTTCCGCCCTCTTCTCTTTTCTGCTTTCATATTGAAGATTTGTCCCTAATTGGTACCCAAAGGTGCACAGTTAGATCATTTTCTCTTAAAAATAGGCTACTGCTTTCTAGCCCAGTGAGAGCAGCTTACTATGGACTTAATTCAGACAATTTCATTTTTTTTAAATTACTGTAATTGTGCTCTGGTGGAATCTCTCTGTTACAGATGTGTGACTATTTTGCTTCCTGATTTGTATGGCCATTCTAGGGCGAAAAAGGAAACTTCATGCCTTTAAAATTAAACACAACTTTACAGTTTAAACATTGATAATGAACATCTTATTAGCGTACAGAATACCTCTTTGTACAACATTTAGTTCAGGCTATTGTATTTTTTCCTAATGCTTAACTTTAAGGTTTAAAGATAAATACTCTTAAAAGCAGCTTTTGAAATATGGACTCCTGACCATAGTTGATTTTTGTTAGGCAAGGGGCAATCTTTAACCTGTAAGGAAGTTACATATTTACAGTTTGCTTTCACAATAAAAAGTTAATAGTAAGTTTGCTAACCAGTGAATTTGTATTCTATAATTCGTAACATTCAGGAACAGCCTAGAGTTCTTTTAAGTTAAAATGCTGGCATATGCAATTAAAAAGTCCCCCTGTCCATGAACGACATGTGCCCCCGGCAGCGGCAGGAGCATGGCAGTGGGAGCATGGCAATGATAAGCCAGAGTTCTCACAGATGCTGTTGGCGGCAGGGGGGTGGAAGAGGGTGTAGTGAGTGCTGAGAAGGGGTCGGTGACCACCCGCAGATGCCACTGGCAGCTTTGGCAGTGGCCAGCGGCAATTGCAGACCGCCCACAGATGCTGCCAGCGGTGACTGCCCACAGGTGCCACTGATGGTGTTGGAGGTGCCTCTTTGTAGGGGGTGCACCACCATGCTCAGGGGGTGCACCTGCAACTGCATGTACCCCCTACTCATCGCTCCTGCCCCTAGCAATGTGATTTGCTCTGACTATGAGGGTGGTCAGGCGTTAGACAACCTAGAGAGGCTGTGGAATCTATATCCTTGGAAACTTTCAAAAGGAGGTTAGACGCACTTGGCTGGGATGGTTTAGGCAGGGATGATCCTGCCTTGAACAGGGGGTTGGACTAGCTGACCTTATGAGGCCCCTTCCATCCCTACTTTCCTATAATCCCATCATCCTATGACTTTTTGTAAGTGCTAAGAATTCCTTAAGTAGAATAAGTTGTTATATCATTTTAAGGGTGGAGCAGCAGCTGTACTGGTTTATGTTTCCCAAGGTCTATATGAGATCATGGTGTATTGGGCCATCTCCTACATTGCTGATGCAGTGTAACTCCCTTGACTTCGTTGAAAGACACTGCTGAGCTGAATTTCTGGCCCATTGTCTGAAGACATATATACTGGGGTGATGTATGTCGAGGTTCCGTTTATGTAGGCAGCAAATAAAGAACTACAATTTTCTCTTTAATTTTTATCTCTGTAATGCTACAGCGAATGTGGCAAGGTGAGAAGTGGCAAGGCATCTGTCCTGATCTCAGCTGTGCTGGTATTTACTCAGAGGTGTGACAAGTTGTCATTTTCTGGTTTATGGGAAAAGTGATTTGTAAACTCAGCCCTCAACCTTGCCAGGTTATTTGCTGGTTTTGGATGTAGAAGTGTGCTTGCTTTCCTAGTAGATATCATGGCAATTCAATGCAGAATATACTTGGGGGCGTGATGATTGAACCATTTAGAAGTGTAAGATGGATACATTAAAAGTATTTGAATATGACTGTTATAGGCCATCCACTACAATATTGAGATATAGTTTCTAGGGTTGCAAGAGACCTGAGAAGATCATCTAGTCTGACCCCCTGCCATGGC